CAAACCGCATGTTCCCACGAATCCTTTACGCTGAATATGACTCGTATAAAAATCCTGGTATTTTTCGCCGAAGAACCTACTCGATGATCAGTATTACCTGCCTGAATGTCTTTATTTGTGGCCATAGGTGTAAAGTTATTTCCAGTGATAAGATAAAAGATAAGGAATAAGATAAGAATTTAATTTTATCACTTTTAATATCAACAGATACACAGGATTTTTTAACAAAATATACAAGTCAAAGCATATAAAGAAGGGAGCAGCTGACAAAACGTAAAATGCCTGAAATCGCATGTTGCATGTATATTAGTCGAATTAATAACTTTCCCCAGTGTTATTTGACGATTCTTTGCCAGTATATCCAGAGTAATAATAGGAAGAGTCTGACTTCATATAACAAGGAAATCGCCATTACTAGCCTTAATAATACCTACGATTACTACGGCGTAAACTCATCCAAACTTAGCTCAAACTTGACACAGTACATTCGACCATTCATCTACCAGATCGTTTTCCGGCCGTAGACACCCGCACATCCCGGCAGATACCAGACCTAAAACATACGACACGATTCATCTCAATCTTTGTCCATAATCAACCGCTAAGCAATCGGCCTATACTTCAAACAAAGGGCACACTAACCAACACGCACGGGGCTTTGCGCTTCACGGCGAGGCCTGTGGCTAGCATGGGTGAATTAGGCATCAACGCAACACCGGTGAGATAAACCTTTGACCCGTAGACAGCTACATGTTCATCCTTATGTCCATTACCGCAATGCCCGGCACGCCACGCACGCCAATCCGCTAGTCAGCAGCGCTGCATCCACGACGAGCCTCGCGCCATGGCCGTGAGCGCAACCCCGTGACAGTGTGGGTTAGTATCTGGCCTTTTTTTGAAGTATAGCGATGCTACGCTTGACTTAATGACAAAGATTGGAGGAATCGTGTCGTATGTTCTTAGTCTTGTATCTCCGGATCTGCGTGTGTCTACGAGGGCAAACGCCCCCACCCCCCCCCCCATCTGGTACGATGGATGGTCGAATGTACTGTGTCCATTTGAGCTCAAGTTGATCGTTACGCGTAGTTAAATAGTAAGTGTATTATAGCGCTAGTAAATGACGGGAATTTCCTGTTTATTGAAGCACAACTCCTTCCCTATATCTATTTTTTCTCCTGGTATTATCTGATCAGCTGTCCTACTTTTCATAATAAACAACAGCGCATGTCCTACAGTGCCCATACGCTGAGATAATATGCGTGAAATCTTGGTATTTTCCCTGAAGACCAGACCTAGGCATTAGTCATTACTGCGCGACCCACTCTCGAATGTGGCCAGTGTGTTGCTTCGCGGCGCCGCATGTGCTAGCGTGCATACTACCAGAGTTTACTATACATCCACTGTGAGGTGCCACAGGTGGGGTCACATCCACTATGGCAATCACGTCCATTCAGGTTCCATTTGTGCAATCCATTGACGGAAACACGCGAGTTACCGAATTTAACACATCAGAGAGACATCCACAGTAAACTTGACGATCTCAAGTCAGTTTTCCGCAAGATATATAGCAGATTTAACATCCATTATCTACCGTAGGGCATCGTAGAGAACAATGACGGTTTTGTTTATATGAACAACGTTAGGACAAGCTGCATCAATATACTGCCAAAGAATGCGTCAAATAAAACCAGGAGTTTATTAATTCGACTATACTGCCAAATGCGTTCAGCATTTCACGTTTACGCTTCTCCTTCTTTATACGCCTCTATAACGTGGCATGAAGGATGGCAACAAGACCATACGCGTTAGTCTAGTAGCAACCCTTAGAGAAATTAATTAATATAAAGACATTAAGCATGAAAATAGTAAATTTAACACGATCCTCTCTCTCTTATTTTACTCTAGCATTAAAGCAGGGTCACTTCTTCCAGAAAATGAGGTGTAGCCAGTGTAAGGGCTGAAGGGGTCGTTGTCGATCAGGTACTACAGATATGTACCCGAGGTACGTATATATGTATACACAAATGTACCAGACCTGTATTTCTCAGCATATATATGTACCCTGTGTTACATAAACGTACCTGCCCCGCGGGCAGCATATGAAACCACGCGATAAAGTACGAGAATGTCGTAAACCTTCAAAACAAGAGAACAAACGCATTTTGTAAATGTTTGTTTTGTTTATAACCGTTGAGATAAGTAAGTTTTCTGATGTATTTTCCATGAAAAACACATATTTACTCATTAATATAACATATATATCACATAATTGCAATTCTTTGTCAAATGTGTTATTTTCATCTTAATCTTAAGTTATGAGAGGGTCTGGGCTTATAGCTGCCGAGTTTGGTTTAGTTAGGAAATGATAATACGATTTGCGTATCCGTATCGTTCCGCGTATACGGCAGTATTAACAGGTATCAGGATATGCAGTGTAGGGGCCTATACTAGTGTTGTTAGTCGGTTGCAATTTCGTAATCAATCATCGGTTGGACCCAAGTAACCGATGATCGGTTACAATCGGTTACTCAGGGTGTTGAATGCCTGCGTGTGCGTAACGTCGTGTGCATGTACGTGTGTGCATGTACGTCAGGGCTCGAATTAAGCGACGAGAAGGGCAAGGCAATTTTTTTAGGGCATGTGAGAAATCGCCTTGAATTTTCTCTAAAATAGAAAGGCACCAAGGCAACTCTCAATATTTGAGAAGGGCACCAAGGCACTTTTGTAAAATAAAGGGAAACTCATAACAAATTAGTACATCAACATCGTCTTGCTTTTAATGTACAAAACAATTAATATGCCCCCTTGTAAGCTTACACCGTAACACCGACCCCTGTACCCACCTCTGCTAATGGAAGTACAGTAACACAAAATTTTACATGCCCGCTATCAGGAGCGAATAATTATCCGATGCTGTTATTATTCCATCCTGCGACTATCGGTTTTTAGCTCATCATTGCAACTACGGCACGCACGCGCACGTGTTATGTTGATTTGACTAAAAACAAAACTAGGGCAGTAGATTAAAGGGCACCGACGGCAATTACACAAAAGGGCAAGGCAGGTGACTGCCGTCGGTCGGGTTGGATTTTCAGGGGCAGTACGGCGATTGATAGGGGCACCGACGGCAATTGCCGTCGGTGCCGTCGGTTAATTCGAGCCCTGATGTACGTGCTTGTTTAGCCCTGTTTACTGTTTGTTTTGCACTGTTTACTACTATGTGTATAATAAATGTATGTTAATAAAGAATAACTTGTATAGTAGCGATGATATCTCTGATTCTCATCACTTTTCCAAGTTTTCTTGTTCGTTTAAATTTTTTTTCTTTTTCGATGAAATCAATTATGGATTTTGATAACCAAGCGCTTGGTTCGAGCCACTGTTCAACCGATGATCGAGTATAATCGATGATCGTGACATCACTAGCCGATACGCAATACGTTTTTGTTCTACTTTCTGTTTATGTTCGTGGACCGATTAGTTTACAGCTGACCTCAGAGTTTTTGGTAGATAATTCGGGATTTTGGCTACAAGTCATGGAGGCTGACATCTTGCCAAATTCCAGCCAATCAGAAGGCGCTAAATTCTTCCTATGTTATAGTACTTATACCGTTTTCCGGCTTTTACGACAATACCACGTGACTGAACGAGACTTCCCGCCTGGGTACATTTATGGAGCGCAGCGGTACGGTTATGTCGAAACAACATTGGTCAGGTACACTTGTGTATACATATATGTACCTCGGGTACATATCTGTAGTACCTGATACGACAACGACCCCATCTGCCAGTGTAGGTGGACATTGGAAATGTAGAAAGTGGGGGTGGATATAGCCCGACCAGGCTGTGCGACGGATTGTCTATACAGCCTGACACCCTTCCATACAAAAAACCTATCACCTCTGCAGATCTAGATGAATAATTCTGTATATCTGAAATAAAACTATTCTATTACCACCTTTGACTTGCCTTGTTTGAAATATACGTTAACTCACAGTTGTCCTGCTTCTAAACTAGAATGTATCTCTCTTAATTCATGGTATAAGCTGCTAATTCTCACAGCATATCAACTTTTCAATCAGCTTTAAACCCGCCATGTTTACACTGCACATGTCAATGGAAGAGAGACACGAAAAACCTGAAACGGAAAAGACTCGCTAGAAAATACTACAGAAATAGTACAATAGCTGCACGATGGCTCTCACGACAATTATACACCAAAGCAAGTGAAACGATGTTCACGAATGTCTGGGCCATTTGTAAAAACCTTAGATGCCATGTTCTCGGATGTAGGGGTGGTTTACATGAGGACCGCAGATTAATTTCCCTTGTTCGATCCATTGCGGATTTTAGTCACAGTCGGAATGATAGCAAACATGGTGGCAAAAATTTGGTTGTATTCGTCTCAAAAAGTCGGCCCATTCCTATTTGACAACCCCAGGTTTAAAAACCCTAACCCTAACCCTAACCAAACTCACGACATGGGTGTGTAAACGCTACTTGTACCAAAAAGTCGCTGTAACCCCGTAAGTACCCAGCGCATCGTAGCGCACTGATGGTTACAATAAGGTGGATGTATACTGATTCATTTGGTATATCACATGTGAAGTGTTCTTTGGCGATACTTGGCAAATAAGACAACTACGTGTTTAGCTGCAGCCAATGTTTGAAACGGTATTCTAACCCTAGCAATACCGTTTCTTGGAGCTAGGGGTGGATAGTAATATTATTACTAGGTAGGCTCTGTGCATGATGTAACACACTACGAAGAACTCTATCGTACGATTACGGTGTTCAGAAAATTCAACTAAACTAAGATCTTGCCCATTATAGTCGAAATCATGCGGAGTCATTGTGTTAGGTGTACTGTACAAACACCGCTAGTGCCAGTGCGAAAAAGCAAACCATTTTGAACCGGATCAGACCCGCATCTTCTTTAGTTTCAGAGCACGTGAAAATTCTTAGAACGAAACCATAAAATAAAGTATCACTAAACATACCGAACAATTTTTAAACGGCCCTGGATCAGTTAATTAGTAAAGATAAGACATTTTCACTCTTCAAACAAATGATTATCCAAACACAAGACGTGAAGAACATGGCGGCTGCTTGCATTGTGCTGCCCTCTCTCAAATATTTTACTAATCCAGTATCACTATTTTTATTATTTCATACATGTTGTATATATTTATACAGTAGTTATTTGTAGTTTAAAAACACATTAGATCGTAATATTTATTAATTTATAAATAATTTGGATAAACAGGATTTTCGTTTTCATGTTCTTCTCACGGATGACGGCTCAAGTTGTGCCATTGAGCTGAGTGTGTATAAAAACATTAAAACAATAAGATACAGCTCAGTGATTTACACACCTTAATAGAGTTATGTTCTCGCTCTAGCTGCCCACCAAAGTACATAGTTTCGTAGAAAGCAGAGAACGAATGCGAGGGAAATAGAATTGCTTTACACATCATGATGGTGAAGCCATATATCACACGCGTTTGTATATATTTATCATAATTATGATCCGTTGATCAAACGACTCATTTTTCCAGATTTCATTTTTTTATTAGCATAACTATGAAGGCATAGATTTAAAACAATTTAACGTTTAAAGAATATAAAGACATGATAACTACCGGTATCTACGTTGTCATTCATTTATATTTTTGGGATGTAAAATCGAACCACTTAGTTCTATAAGGAATCGGATGGAAATGGCATCGGATATGGCTATCCACTGATAATACCGATAACAATTCGTTTTCATCAGGTTACTAAAAAAAGCCGAAAATAAATGACTAAACGTTCAGCTAAATGCGCACGACGAGAACAAGACCCGGTGAAAAGGTCGACAGAAGTTTGTTTGACGCTGTCGCTCTTTGTTCGTACGAGAAGCAATGCTTCCCATAGTTCATAGCGCCGTCACGAGAAGGATGAAATCATTTTATGCATTAATAGTAATAATACCGCATTCTCACATAATGTTACATTTTACTATATTCGCCTGTTTTTTTTTATTGATAGCACAAAAAAGAGAACCGTAAATGATATATATGCATGGTGCAGTATTGACATATTATAGCTGAATTTCGTAACGTTCTGGCCGTAACCTGCCATAAAACCTGCTGCTACCCTTTACGTGACGTCATCGCAGACACTCATTATTTATGCGCGTACGCCATTTTGGGGAGAGTAGCTTTGGTGCGTCTTAACAATTTATCCGAGGAAATCTCAACCCATCCGTCCTTGAGTTTCTTCGTTTAGGAGTTTATTCCTATCTAAAGATATCACCCATCAGAACGGTCCTAGGTAAGTACATTTATATGTCGGCGTTATCGTTTAGCGGGATGGAGAAAAATGACAATTTTCTGAATCTTGAGTTCATTGACATCTTTCGTCGGCAATGGTTATTTCGGGGTCTATGCGACGTATTCGTCTCCACACCACAAAGCATAAAAATTAATGTTATGTTCAGTATCCCAGTGGTTTTAAGTGATTGTCGGTGTTGAATATTGATGAAAATCACACTTTTGTTTTGTCTATCTCTTGCCGTCCCTCATGTATGAAATAAATGGCTAGGCACGTCGTACTATACAACGTACATTACTCATTAGTCGATATCATGGCTGAATTACGCATGACAGTGAAGTAAATTTTACTTAGTTTTACTCAAACAGCTACGTCGTTGGCCCAAGGGTAGAGAACATGGGTCCCAATAAAACCAATGTGCCTAACCCTAACCCTAATTCGGCCCATTCCTATTTGACAACCCCAGGTTTAAAAACCCTAACCCTAACCCTAACCCTAACCCTAACCAAACTCACGACATGGGTGTGTAAACGCTACTTGTACCCCTAATTCTAACCCTAACCCTAACCATAACCCTAACCTATTATATTGATATGATATTATATTTATATTGATGTAAATGACATTAGTTTTATTGGGACCCATGTTCTCTATCCTTGAACCACGTCGTTGCCGTTTTGAATTTAATTTAGTTGTCAATTGATAAAACTCCTGATATTTTTGTTGTAAGTGTATTTTTCCGTACTTACAGTGACGCTGAAGGGGGTCGTTGTCGTATCAGGTACTACATATAATGTCATTAATGATATATGTACCCGAGGTATATGTATACACAAAGTGTACCAGACTTGTACTACAGAAGTGTACCCTAACCCTAACCCTAAACATACCTCATATAAAAATATAAACATAATACTAAACATCCTAAAACTACCTCGGGTACATATATATGTATAGTACCTGATACGACAACGACCCTTCGTGCGACAGTGACGCACAAAGGGTCGTTGTCGTATAATGGCTTATAATATGTACCCGAGGTAACTATTTGATATGGTTAGGGTTAGGGAGTAGGCGTAGGCGACATACTCGCCGACACCTCGGGTACTACATATACGACAACGACCCCTTCAGCGACAGTGACACTGTATTGGGATGAGTTTTGAGTTTTTGCCACTTGCAGACAGTCGGTCTTTTTAAAACTTATCAGTTCATGTACATCGTCCTCTTTGTCTTCTAACTATGTTATTTCAATTCCATTTTATTACATTGTATGAGTGATTCACTGATTGTATATTTATAATATTGCATTTATATAGCCTCATTGAATATATAAAGAATTAAAGCAACTAAAGTATGTAGTCGAGAACCGTTCCATGTTAATATTAATTACTCAAATTCTACACATATCCATTAAAAAACTACCCACACTGAGAGTTGCCTGTAGAAATGACAAGGATTTCTGTCGTAAAATAATAACAGCTACCGACACTGCATTTCTTTTACTTCTAAATCGCAACTGCTTAGCTAACACACTTGTTTTGACAGTGCCCTCCTTGCATACAATACAACTACTGGAAATAGGAACTATTGCAGTAAATGTGACTGAAAACATTGTTATAAATTCATTGTATTTATAAATTGAAACATGCAGATTTGCCTCATTTAGATTTAAATATTATATTGTTTCATACAAATTCCCCTCCCTGTTATGTTACCTTATTTCATGTTATACCTTGATTTTGCCTTGTCTAGTTTTTTTCCCATTGCCAAGTTATTGTGCACTGTCATTTACAATAAAAGTTATTCAACAACTAGTTAGTTGGAAGTTAACTGACTAGCTTGAGTGTTATTATATATATGTACCAAGCACAGGTCATTTATTAGTTCCCATTTTTATGATGAGATGCAAATGTTAATGCTCATACCATAGTTACTTTATGAAAGTTGTTATGTAACCAACAGTATTAATTACTGTATTATAACCCTTAAATACAACTCACTCCACAAACAAGCACAACATCATTTGTATTATGGATATTTCTGTGATACATAATAAGTGTTCACTTTTAGTGTATATCACCCTGTTATGTATATTCACTTCAAAGTGAAAATATTTCTTTAACTGTCAGTATCGAGGCTTACACACTAGCAACGTAACTTTCTTTGTATGTCGCAGCACTGTGTGCAGACCGTTCAACGGGTACAGGGCCACCACGTCAATGAGTGTTGTGTCAGGACATGATGTCCGCGCTCTCTGGGCTAACTACGAAGGGGGAAAAAGGCAAGAGCAAGTACCAGGCTCTCGACATAAATAACTTGTATAAAGGCAAAAGCGTTGAGACACAGAAAACAACCGGTAAGTTGGTGTAATTCGCCTATGTTTTTCTTCTTGCTGCGTACTGGTGGTAGCTTCTAGGTGTTATATGAATTTCAGTATCTCACTCTGTATATTGTTAAAAGTATTATTGTTTGTAATACCTCGTACAGACATCAAACTAGTCCGAGTCAGGCCCGGAATTCTCAAATACACAGATTCGATTATACGCCTGTTTGAAATTTCTGCTGTGTATTTGGTCACCTGTGAATATTCTTCCTCTTCTGCTAAATACAACAACAATTCGGTATAAATCCTAATAACGCGATCGAAGGTTCAGTTACATTTAGTAGAAGCAATTGCGTATAAGTTGGTGGTTAGCACAATTCTAAAATTTAACTATGGCGTATTCAAATAATTATATAAGTTTTACAACTTTAACATGGAGCTTATACGGATAAGCACGTTATAAAATCTAGATTAGTCTAGATTAATCTAGACTAGATAGTAGATAGTATTATAATTTATATTGGATAAAGAAGTGTGATGTGTAGGTGAATAATCTTTGTGTGGCTTCATCCCTATGTACATACTTCCATGTACATGACCAATGTCTGCATTGCTGCATCCCTTGAAATATTGATCCATCATTTCCCCGTTTGACAGCAGCCGCGCTGTTACTTGCTGCCTTAATTTGTTGGTCAGTCGGAGGTCAGTAATGCCAATGACTGTAAAGTTTACCTACACGAACATGGAATGTGGGCATGAAAAGGGAAATACTCTATTAGCATTTACATTTTGTCTTCACATCTAAATTTTATAGAAAATATATTTTTTCAGGTTGTGCATAATAATTGGCAAGTCAAATTGCATTTTTGTAACTTTTATGACCGTGGGGGGGGGGGTCGATATCAATGTATTTTGGTTTTTGGTAGGCTTGGTTGGCTTTATATATATATAGTAAACTTTGTCTTAGAAGACTTCAGAAAACTTGAAACTTAGAAGGCTTCCAGTTTGTTGAGTATGAAACAAAATGTTTAATAATAAACGAATAAATTAGGTTATCAAAATTGAAAACACTTGTTTTGAAATATACGTTAGTCCTAAGCTGAAGTGTAGTTTTTGTATAGTTCTCTCTAGGTAGGTAATCACATACAAAATATAGATAGTCAAATTGTTGTAATATATTGATAAATTGTGATATTTTGTATACGAAATATCGATACAAAAAAGGTTTCCCAACCAATAATATCATCACCATATTGTAGTGTGATGGTTCTTACTAATAAAAGTGGAGTTTATTGGGGCAGACAGTTTGACATAAACGCCTGTGTGATTGTAGCATGATTTCCCGTTTCAGCCCCCCGTCAGTATGGTTTACAGAGTCTCGGGAAAGTCGCGACTGCGCGGCGCATGCCCCCACCAGCTAATTTACCAAGTTTGAAAAGTGAGCATTGTGGAAACGACCCTTCGGTTAATCTAGTACCACAAGGTGGATCAGGATGGGTCAGCGAGAAGGACAAAGAAGAAGCAAAAAGGTATATCTGAGTTTTAGATGCTAGGTTGTAGTACATGGTCCCTTATTACCGTGTGTGTGATCATTTTACATCTCTAGAATGATCCAGAGGTTTAATATTGCGATGAATAACACATAGTGTGCGTATTGAGTTCCGGAAAGTATCAGGGAGGGCTAACCATGCCACATGTGCATTCCATTACGATGAGTTACCAGGACAGGAGCATGAATAAGCAGTTTTCTGGGCACTACAGTGTATAAGTGAAACAGACTTATGGTCAGTGTCTGCTAATAAGGATGTAATTGTAATTACTAATTGCAAACAGTTAAAAGCTTAACGAATTAAGCTGTGAAATCTAGCTAATGAGTAAGGTATAATTTCCTTATCTTCCTATCTGACATAGTGATCTTGTTTGGGTTGTGAAGTTCATATCTTACTATAATTTGGTGAATGTTGTATGTATGTTAATGAAAGGCTCCGTCAGTTTAGATCCAAATAGCGCCAAATTCACAGAAGAGATCTATGAATACATGGGACGGGTTCTAAACTATACTCGGTTTAAAACTGTAAAAACGGCTTAAAAAAGACAAAAAAACAAACAAAATATGTAAACATTTGCCAGAAAATAGGGGGCGTTATATTGTTTTCGTTCTGTTTCCATTTCGTTTTGTTCTGTGTATCTGTGTTCTGTGTCTGTGTCTGAGATTTTTGTAAGCCCCATAATGTAAGTAGAAATAACCATGTAATAATGAAGTTAAATATTCAGTAGCTATTTGGCCATAGTTTGCCATATGAGATGTACAAGTTGAATTTCATCAGAGCAGATTTTTTTTGGAAGTCTGCAATTCTGTACGGGTGTCGTGAACAGCGAGCTGTCACAAGCGGTCCGATCACAAGCATGTAATATTACGTCGTCCGCACAGAGTGCAAACATGCGTAGAAATAAGCGATCACAACCACGCAATATTACCTGGTCCGCACACAGTGGTAACATGCGAAGCACGTAATATTACGTGCTATCAAGCCAAGTGGTTAATCAGTCGCCCGACCTACCAGCCCATTCAGATCTATCTATATTCTAACTTTGGAGTCTGTATCATCAACCAGTAGTTCCTACATAGCATACAATAAAACATTTGTGTGTGTGTGCGTGCGTGCGTGCGTGCGTGCGTGCGTGCGTGTGTCTGTATTTCACTGTATACTTGCCAAACAAATGGTTAATATGTTACGTGTAAGCATGATTGTACATATGTATTTGTATTGACATCTCAACCATAAAAAAACAAACATGTGCAACAACTAAACTCTCAATACAACACCTTACACATAACACTACTGTACTGGTAACACATGCATCACAGTCACTAAGCCTGCGCGTAGCGCGGGTTTCAGCTAGTGTTTTTAAAATGGAGAAAAATGTGAAAAATGTGTATGTTGTGTGCGTTGTACAGTGCGTGTCGTGTGAAGACTGGAAATGTGCTCATTGCTTAACTGGGACCACCACTTAATTCAGACATTTTCGTGGTTCCTGACCTGTCCCACTAAATTGGGGACCACGATTTTTAGTGTCTGTAGTATAACATAACACATTAATATATTCTTGCTTCCATGGAAATTGAGTCAATGTTATTTAGGTTTCTGGGAAAGGACTAAAAAAAATTGTGGTATTATAAACCAACAAATAAATGCTTATCAGTGGTTTCTCAGAATTATATTTAGATGTTTTATCTCAATGCCTTAACATGGCGGGAATGGAGTGAATAAATTTGAAATCGCTTGTTTCTTTTCTAGTGGTGGGGCACCACAACAACCACCGGAACCAGCAAAACCAGCTACACCATTAGAGCAAGCAAGGCAGCGAGAAGCACAAGCGCAAAAACTACAGCAGGCGCATGCAGCACAGGGTCAGGGGCAGGGGCAGGGGCAGGGGCAGAACAAGGTGCGTGTGCAATCTATGGTATATAAAAGTGTTGATAAAGATGTTATTCTCATTTTTATAGGCTTGGTTTTTGGCATAAAAATCTCTTGATCTCCGAATATCTTAGATTTTGATTTTTCAAATTTATAATTTTTGAGATTGATGCAGATCCATTGAGAAACTCACCTGACTGCAGCCTATATTTACATTATGAGGAGCCTGGGTGATATATATATATATAATACTTATTTGTTTTAAATACTTGGTTTTTTTAATTATCAGAATTCACAACAGGGGCATCAATCTGGGGAGAGTGGTCCGAAATTATGGAGCAGCGTTGCGGGGCATGCGGAAGGGGAGCAGGGACCGGGTAAGTTGCGTTCTGGGTTCGGGAAAAATAATTACACCATTTGTGCACTATTGATTGCAGCTTGTTATATACCCTAAGAAAGTTGTGTTATTTACATTTTTGTAGTGATTTTTTGAAATATCAGTTGTCTTTTGAAAAATGTGTAGGAAACACACAAGACTTCGGGTTGAGTGAAAATCAGTGTTCAATGTTTTCTTTTCTTTAGCGGATTTTCTGAGTCCGGAGTCGACCAAATTTCAGCAAGAATTTCCTACACTAGCGACAGGAGGGGAAGAACAACAACAGCAGCAGCAAGTACAGCAGCACAGTCAGAAGCCAAGCACAGATTCTCAATATGGGCCAGGCCCGAGCTTGAGGCCGCAGAGTAAGTTTCAGTTACAAGCTCTGCATCCAGGGTATTAGCCAGGAATGAGTATTGTGCAGAAAAAATATATCGGAGTGCATTTTTTTTGTATGTGTGTTTCAGCCAAGACCGTCATTGGGGGTGTACGGGGGCCTCCCCGGAAAATTTTGTAATGTTTTAAATTTTTTTGGCCGTGCAGTTTCAAAACTGACCGTGCAAATCATGGCTGCACGGCTCGCTGGTTAATACGTTGTCTGCATCACACTCAGAAATACTACATAGTTTTTGAAGTATTAAAAAATCCACAAGTATTTTAAGTGTGTTTTGATGCGTAGAATGCGTTGCTGAATGCAAAGACACATCAGAGTGAAGGTATGTGGCGGTGTCATGTTTAGCATGCTTCACATTAGTGGCGTGTCTGTTGTTAAGGTAAGGTGGCAAGCTACAGGGAAGCGATGATGTGATTCATCTAAGTTTTTTGTGCGTGTGGTTACAGACGAGGGGAACTGGCGGGAGGGAGGAGGTCGTGGCGTGACCACGCAGCAGCAGCAGCAGTCATTGGTGCAGTCACATAGCGGTGTTGGTCTCAATCCAAACATGAACGGACCACAGACACCAGCAGACAGCCAGGTACAACTAACTATGCATCATGTTGTCGTGTGCTGGTTGTTCATTCGGGGCAATTGGTTTTGAAGATTGTGTGCAAGTTTGTTATCTTTACAGATCTTTCAGTTCCCAGTTTCCCCAGAAATTCAAACATAGTTTGTGATTCAGGTACTTTTATTTTAAGATTGGAATTATTTGTCATTGTGTCTGTTATCTTGTATCCCACCAAGGAGCTACAAATGCAGCCGGTAATGCCAGGGAGACCAGGCTCTTCAGGACCTATGCCTGGACCACCCCACATGGGACCTGGTGGTCCAGCTGGACCAATGGGCGCAGGCATGCCTCCACAATTCAGAGGGATGATGCCACCTTATGTACGTGTGCTTTTTTGCTAGTCTGTGTCTATTGTTAATTGCACGGTTGACTTCGTTAGTTAGAAACCTTACAGCATTCTCATCTTAGTAGTATGTGTTTGAAAGTGGCAGTGCTTTTTACTTATATTAAATAATGATGACGTTAGGCTCTGACCTATGGCGTCTTTGTTCGTGTTTTAATATTTCCCTTGAATTTTGTTGGGCATTTAGATGTACGGACCTCGGGGAAGTTTCCCTCCCGGAACATACCCTCCGAATTTCCCGGGAATGCAAGGTCCACCTCGTCCGCCATACCCGTATCCACCTGATGCACGAATGTATGGACCGCGTCCACCGCACATGCAGCAGCCTCAGGTAGGAACGGCCAAGTATTGCCATCATGTTGGAATTCGTTTTTATCATGTTGATTACATTGCGTACATATTGATTGGGGATGGGGGGAGTCGTTTTTATTATGTTGACTACATTGCGTACATATTGATTGGGGATGGGGGGGGGAGTCGTTTTTATTATGTTGACTACATTGCGTACATATTGATTGGGGATGGGGGGAGTCGTTTTTATTATGTTGACTACATTGCGTATATGTTGATTTGGGGTGGGGGCATCATTTATCGAATATCTTTGTCATTTACATTTCTGTTGAAGTGTTTGTATCTAGAGATAATGCTGCATGTTGCTTACCTCATGTACTAGACGTATTGCAATAGACGTAAACGTGACTGTTTGCAGAAAATGGATGGTGAGGCGTTCAGTAGACCAGCTATTGTCAGGGACGAGGATTTAAAAGAGTTGGACCACATAATGGAAAATGACCAAAATGGAAGCAGTTGGGCAGCAGTGCAGAGTGAAGTTGACTATAGGTATGCTAGGGCTTCATCGGGTTCAATGTATATTTGACATGTTCGAGTGTGAAACTCTTAATATTCTAGTTTAAAATAGGGTAAGTTTACACCCTCATGTATGATATTCTTGTGTAATTAGATCGTTTAACATAATACATGTCAGGAATTTCTCCTCCTGGAATTTTGGATGGCATGTCGTTTATGGACGGATGTGGATTTCTATGAATAAACCTCTTTAAACGATAAATTGTACTTACAACAATATATGTGAATATTTTACAATATTTTACTGTCTACTTGAATATTAAGTGTTACCATTAAAAATCCATTGCAATACTGTCGATTGCAGTAAGGAGTTAAAGTTCAGTGATGATGAAGATAGTGCAAGCAACAGATTGAATAGGGATGAAAGCAGGTGAGTAGCATAGCCCTTACACTCTAGCTAACCATAGCATGCTATATGTACACGTAGCCAGATGTAGAAATTAACTTTTGAACAAGGGTGCCCTCAAAAAGAGAGAGTCTGCAGCAAAATGAGGGAGTCCGCAGTCTGAAGTTCAAAACTAAAGATATTAACAATAACGCGTGTGCTTATTTTGAATATTCATGCAGTTGCACGTCTGCCAAATTGTCTTTGGACATTTGCTGGGGAAATACGGCAATTCCGGGAGGCCATGCTTTGGAACGAAGTAGACTTGGTAGTTAGTATAGCAGAATTTTCAGGGAGTCACACGGACTCCCGCATATGTCAAATCAGGGAGTCCGACAGAAAATCATGGAGTATTTGCCTCTGGACTCGCGTTAATTTCGCACCCTGCGTAGCTACATGGCCCATATTGTATACTTGCGATGATGCTTCTAAAACAATCTGTCAATCATATGATTCTGTTACGAAGCTGATCAGAATTTCTGTTTTACTGAGCAAGTACCTCTGTATTTATGGAGTGATCATATAGTTTTTAAATATTTAGGTTAAATATTTGATATGTCTGCTTCACGGTGTATATTGAGGCCAACCTCAAATTATTTCTTAATAGTTGTATTCTACTACTTAATGAAAATTATGCCAACTGCCATTTTGATTATAACGTAATTTTTACATGTAACTGTAATGTACAAAGAAGAGTGCGTAAAACATCCAATTAACGAGATGCTAGTTTTAGGGGAATCAAAGTAGAAAAGGTTACGCTGTACATTTATATTTCTTCCTTTATTTACATATCATTATGTTCAACTTGCCGTCGATTGACTTGCAGGAAAGATACGTCAGACAGTACAAGGTCAGCAGAATCGAGAAGTCATGACAAGGAGCATGAGCGGGATGATAGAGAGTACAGGCAGCGGGTGAGCATACGTGTATATCTTACATGCATACAATTATATATATATATATTACAATATTTCGAAAACAACTAAATACTACAAAGGGTACTACTATACAGATATTATAACTAAATTATGAATGAAGTAATGTATTTGTAATTCACTGTTTACTTGCATGTCGAGCAGGGAGAGAGGCCCGGTCCACCGAGGCAGACATAATTTTGTAATTCAGCATTTAATGATAACAATGTGCGTGTAAGATCTGTTAAATGACGGATGATTAAATGATCTGTTTAATCATCTAATTCGGGCAAAATCTGTTCTATTTCACCGGTTTAGTGGCAGCAGCAGCGAATGCCGTTTGATCATCGTGGTGGGCCACCCATGCCACCGTACCCGGGCGGTCCTCCAGGACCCCCTCGGCTAGGTCCTATGGCACCTGGCCCTTACCCTTCCCAGCCTGGACGTGCACCGCCACCAAAGCAGCCCGATGTGGATGATGAAGAGGTAACAGAACATGTCTAGAATGTGATGGAACACGCATTTATTTATTTTATGTGATAAAAAAAACAACTAATTTTATGTTGGTATTGTACACCTTCACGCATGAGGCATTGTACCGAGTACAGACAACGCGAATGGGATGATGAAGATGTGTAACCCTAAATGCAGATGTAAGCGCTAATGCACAAACAAATATATATGCATCTTAATATTGCACATTGCTACTTACAAGATTGGAGTGATTGATCATGAATGGAAGAACGCTAAGTTGCGAGTTTATCTTTCATTGTTGTAGATGTGGCGACAGAAAAGGAGGCTGCAGAGCAGCGAGATGACTGCGGCAGTCGAGAGGGCGCGCCAGAGAAGGGAGGAGGAGAAGCGTTTCGAGGAAGAACGCAAGGCCGCTCTCGGCGAGAAGCTGGGAAGCAAGCGAGAAGATAAACGCAGCAAAGATTCAGTAAGTTTGCCACTTCCATTTTTAAAATTTCCCTTTATTCATTATGCTTTCTTAAATAATCATTACATGTGCATATGTACATGCATGCAGACCTGCCAACTGTTACGTATTGCCCGTAATTTGTTACGGACGCGAGTCAAAGTTACGGTGTTACGGACGACCTCGAAAAATTACGGACAGCAATAAATCTCTGAAATTTATATTTTTTAATGCAAAAAAAAGAAATAAACACAGTGTAAAATCAACTATTATCATGTAACATGACTACTGTGTCTGTAGATTTAGACTAATAGCTCTTAAAACGTATTGGTACTCACTGAAAATGGTAAATTATGCTGTGTTATGCGCTCGTCTGTCTGGTTTATGGGCGCAGCCATTTTGAATGACGTCACGGATCCAGGAACAGTAGTACCGCACTGAAGGCTATTTTCAGCCAATCACCGTGAGAGATAAATTAAATCACAGGTGTTACTGACAAATGCCTATTTGTTACGGAAAAATCCAATCATTATTACTGATGATCATCAGATGGGGTTGGCAGGTCTGTGCATGTCTTATGCGTAAAAAAATATTCTGGTTAGGAGAGCTGTATTAGTATACAGTAATAGTCTTGACAGGCTATAGGTAATACAACCTGGTGGTGTTGTATTGCAGGAGGAAAGAGAAGATCCAGACACGGGATCGGAGTCTGGCAAGCGTGCGTCGTCCCGCGACGGGAGCCAGGGGGAGAAGAGGGACAGTCGGGAGCGGGACTACCGCGACAGAGAATTCCGCGGCCAGCGTGGCGGCAGGGAGCGGGAAGGTGAAGGCAACTTCTCCAAGCAGTTCCAGAAAAATGTTCCTCCAAGGTAAGTGGTCACTGAAGCTGTAGAATGGTTGTGCAGTAGAATACAATATATATATATATATATATATATATATATATATATATATATATATATATGCAGTGTAATATATCCCGGAACGTTAGATTATAGGTTGCTACTCTATTATAGGTGCTTATGATATTGTATATGTTAACGTTGTGATATATCTGTCTGAAATTAAGATATCGCTAAACCTAAAGTGCGTCTTTTCTGGGCGTTAGGTTTCAAAAGCAGCAGGCTGAGCAGATGATGAGACAGCAGCAGTACATGAGACCCTCCGGCCAGCAAAGTGGAGGAGGTCCGCCGATGCAGGGTCAGCCCATGTACGATCCTCGTTGGCAGTGCATGCCCCAGGGACCTGGGACCTATATGCAAGAGCACAGAGGAATTCAGCCACTGCAGGGTGTGTGGAAGTTTAGTTTTTTTTAGTTATCTCTCGTAGATGCCTAGATGGCACATAAGGCAGTGACAAGAGACCTCCAACGTCGTCGGTGTCGCGTTATAGAAACGTATAAGGTTGTGAGTAACTTAGGAGCTGTTTATTCACACGTCAGTGTGGCTTGCTTACATGATGTAAAGACAGCGACTGCGTCACGTGCAGCGCTTATATACGGCAGTCTGGTAGCAGGAGCCACCATGGCTAGCTATATGTTAACACTTGAACACGCGTTAACCATTGGTGTAATCACTAACACAATAGTCGGTCCGCTGCTACTGGCCTCAGCGTGTCCCATTATCGGTCGCACATCCGCATCTCCTTCTCGATGGTCCTGGGGGGTGTGTGTGAAAAGATGCAATTGATCCATCACATGTTTTGAGATATTTCATTGAGTGCAGCTCTGATCATGCAAATAGATCATAGTGAGGGACTCCCAAATGAACTTTGCTTGACACTTTAATATTGAGCTTACTAATTCAATTGTGGTGGTAAAATGCTGTTGATGTTGCAGGCATGGGAATGCAGGGCGGTCGTCCTGGTGGACGAGGAAGAACGGATAGTCAAAGCTCGGCGCCTGATCAACACGAAAGTGGTGGTAGCACTCCCGACGATCGGCCGTGGACGGGCGACCGACCCGCTTTTCCCAGTCAAGGTTTGTATGGAAAGTGTTCTAACAAACGAGCCTAAACTGAGCTGCAGTTTTGCTTTAAGCAGCTAATTCGGCTCTAAAAAGTTGTATCAAATTGCATTAAATCTTGACTTCTGCGTGTATGGATGCAGGAGCACAGGGATCTTACGATGAGAAGAGGAGGGGTCCCCCAGCACCAGGCTACTACGATGACTACAGAAGATCTCAGCAGCAAGAGCGTAGTCAGTCAGAGGAGGAGCCCCATCGAGAGAGGAAGCTGTTTGATCCAAAAGAACCCCGAGAGCCGAAGGAGAGGAGGGACTCCAGGGAGATGAGGGAACGGCAGCCAGAGTCCAGGTCTGGGGAATTCAGGCGGTAAGCCTAGAATTTCTCTTCTGTGGATCATTGCGTGATGTTAATCATTCTTTTAGTTTATTGTGTGTGTAAGAGGATTCGTTTTCCACGGAACCGGTGTTAATTGTTACTTGATGTAGATTGTGAGTGGAATGTTATAGCTCATCGTAAAATCTATTGCAGTGAGAGGGATGACCGACCGCAGCCGGCACGGTCACCAAAGGACTTGAACCAGGCATCCCGAAACAAGGAACAAGATGTGAGTGAAATATAAAATTAGATTAAATGAACTGCGAAATTACATATTAATGTCTAGTAAATTGTTCCAGTAACCGGAGCCAGAGTCGATAAACCAGATGTGTACTTTCGTTGTGTGTATTTTTTAATTGTTTGTGTCATTCATTAATTAATCAAGAAGCATCAAGAGATTCCTTCATCGCTCGTGAGAGATCCATTAGAGGAAGGCATGGATCCTTCGCGGCCACAAAGGCCTGAAAGTAGAGACTCCATCAAGTCACGTGATTCTGTCAAGTCAAAGGACTCGATTAGGTCCAGGGAGTCACGTGAATCGAGCAAAGGCAAGGATTCCAGAGTAGGAGCATCTCATGATGAAAGGTGAGTGGGCAGTAGGTGAAAGGTGTCGAACCTTTACCGGATATGGTTTTTGCTTGGTAAACTACAATTCAAGGTGGCAGTGTAGAAGAGTCGGTGGGAGCGAAGAAGAACGACACTTTTTGGATAACTAATAACCTATTGTAGCTGTTCTGCTAACAATATACTGGGTGTGAGGAACCAAAGCTTTGCACTTGGAGCAAAAGGTGTGGGAGATCATGATGTTTTGTTTATACTCAAGTGTGGTAGTATGCGCTAGTTATCAATTCAAAACCTGTGTTAATTATGAAGCTCACGTTTACAACTGAAAAATGTATTATGCTGAATTACTTTGCTAGGTCTACCCATAAGGGTGGCTCCCAGGCTGGCATGCAGAAGAGTGGCCCACAGACTGCCATGCAAAAGAGTGGCTCGCAAACGTCACTGCAGAAGAGTGGCTCGCAAACGTCCTTGCAGAAGAGTGGTTCGCAAGCATCCTTAAAGGATTCATTTCCAGAGAGATCTGGAGGTCCACGTCAGTCAGGCAGGAAGGATCTGACCGCTCAGCTGAGCTGGGGGGACGAACCACTAGACGAGTCGCTCGTCAATGTAGAAAAATGCTGTGAGTGTCACCTTTTTTGTGTGTAACAGGACATGCCATAGCAGACATATTGTTTACTATAAGGAACGACTAGGTACATCCTTGTTGCATTCTGAGTTTTATTATATGTGCTGGTAGTGATTGTAGTAATGTGCACGTGCTATCATTAGATTCATTCATGAGGGCCGCAAGATGTGGCTACCGGTGTAGCGTGAGCGATTGCATCCCCATTATATTGTGCATCCCGGGTGCAGAATATAATACACACGCTCGTCACGTGAAATCATGCTACCTATGTATCGTCCAACCCTAACCCTAATCCTAATCACAACAACAACAAATCACAGTACACTACAGTACAGTACAGTACAGTCATCCAAGCACAGGATGCAGAAAATCATGGTTCTGTTGAATGTTTACGTCTGCGCATGCGTATGCGTTTGGGTAGCACTATATAATATGACACCGGCAGTGTTTCTGTTTCTAATCTCAATCATGTTTAATCGTAGCCACCCCAGACTGGGCTGCCTTGCACCCCGAGCAGTCTGGATCGCCTAAGACACTGCTGCAGCACCGGGAGCCCGAGGCGAAGCGAGAACCCGCGCGTGAACCGAAACAGGAGCCGAAGGTGGTGGAGTGCAAGCACGATGACCACCGCGACGTGAAAGACAAGCCGCACCAGCGCGATCAGCACGACCCTCGAGATCCGAGGGATCAACGGGATCTGAGAGATCCGCGAGACCAAAAGCCTCAGCAAGACTCGAGAGAGCCGAGGCAGCGGGAGCTTACTAAAGACAATATGCCGGGCGGTCAGAACAAGGACAGGCCGGATCATCAGAGGGATCAGCAACCTCGCGGCGGTGCGAGACAGGAGCAGTGGAGAGATCCTAAAGATCACAGGCGGTTGATAGCACTCGACATTCGCAACGAGAGTCGCGATTTACACGCAGACCAACGCGATCTGCAGGTGGAGCGGAGGGATCTGCAGGTAGACAGGCGAGAAACGCAGGTAGTCGTCGTAGATCGTCGTGACACACAGGTAGACCGACGTGGCACACAAGTAGACCGGCGTGAGCCACAGGTAGACAGGCGTGACACACAGGCTGATCGGCGTGACACACAGGTAGACCGACGTGAGCCACAGGTAGACCGACGTGAGCCACAGGTAGACAGGCGTGACACACAGGTAGACCGGCGTGAGACACAGGTAGACCGGCGTGACACACAGGTAGACCGACGTGAGCCACAGGTAGACAGGCGTGACACACAGGCTGATCGGCGTGACACACAGGTAGACAGGCGTGACACACAGGTAGACCGGCGTGATACACATGTAGACCGACGTGACACACAGGCTGATAGGCGTGACACACAGGTAGACCGACGTGACACACAGGTAGACCGGCGTGACACACAAGTAGACCGACGTGACACACAGGCTGATAGGCGTGACACACAGGTAGACCGACGTGACACACAGGTAGACCGGCGTGACACACAAGTAGACCGACGTGACACACAGGCTGATAGGCGTGACACACAGGTAGACCGACGTGACCAACAAGGATCAAGACGAGACCCACAGGCAGAGCGGCGTGACGCGCAGGGTACGCGAAGAGACATGCATGTAGACAGGAGGGATGTGGACAGGAGGGATGTGGACAGGAGAGATGGGGACAGGCGTGAGCAGCAAGGCGTACGCCGAGACCAACAGGGAGGCGATCGTCGTGACCAGCAGCAAGGCAGCAAACGCTTCCAACAGCGGGAGCCACAGGAGCAGAGGCAGTCTCAGCAGAGTGTCGCCCTGAAACGCACTTCGTCCACCCGCTCTGACTCCTCTGCTTCCAGCGATCGGAAAACCGAATCTCCGAAAGTCGTCGAAATGCCCGTCGTAGTGAAGAAGGAAGTGAAAGATGTGCTCGAGCAGGATAAAGAAAACAAGGAGCCTGTTGGCGGAACTGTGGATGCACAAAAAGAGGAGCCTGCGAAAGTTTCCATTCCCATAGTACTTGAAGAAAAGGATGAAAAGGAAGAGAAACCGAAAAAAGCGAGGGATGAAAAGGAATCCGAGAAGTCGAAACCGAAAAAGGACGAGGCGAAGAAAGACTCCATTGAAAAGCCGCCGATGAAACGCTTCAAGGAGTCATCAGATCGCAAAGATTACCGCGGCAACGAGCGTCAGCTGGATGAATCGCAGAGAGGTCGTGGTGGCGGCAGTGCTGCTCCAGGGGGCGCCACTAGAAGCCGCGGCAGGGGTCGCGGGGAGTTTACCGCACCTAGGCGGGGTCGCAGCGGCTACAGCTCTTACCGTGGTCGCGGGCGAGGAGATCGACCTAGCGGTTCTTCGAGGTATCCTGATCAGCCGGACTACAGAAGGAAAAAGGACGATGAGTATAGCGACATAAGCGATGATTGGTCGGACGAGGACGACGTACGACCGTCGCGACTGCGCTCAAAGGACGAGCTCAGCGAAGAGTCTGGTGATGAGATAGCCGTGGCTGCTGAATTGGCAGACGACAAAGATAAGAAGAGCGGTAACAAAGAGAGGAGAGATGATCCTACGAAAGAGCGAGGGTCGTCCTACAAGCCGGAGAATGTAGTTAGGTCAGGGGAACGAGGCGGTGGCCGTGGCTTCACCCCCCGCGGTGTCCCGTCCAGGCGAGGACGCGGAGCCAGCTACAGCGGCAGGGGAACGTCGCGGGGAGGTTTCCCCCGTCCCCATAGCGACCGCTCGCTAGACGACAGGTACTACTTTGAGAAGCCACGCAGAGACGGCAACCGCGAAAGGCGGGACGACAAGAGGCGAGATGAAAAGAAAGATGATAAGAAGGGCGAGGAAGTTGCTGCGAAAGAGGTGGAAGCAGCAGGCAAGCCGAAGCCGGAAGAAAAAGTAGTGGAAAATAAACAGGAGGACACTGCCTCTAAAGAGGATAAGGAAGCCACCTCGGCAACAAGCGAGAGAAGAGATGAACGAAGAAGAAACGATCGATATGACGGTAGGAACCAGCGTCGGCCCGACAAACCGCAGCGGGGGGAGTACCGGGGTGGGTACGCGAACCGTCGGCCTGCACCCCCGCCCAGGTTTCAGCGCAGCGGCCGTGGAGACAGCCACAGTGCTGCCTACCAGTACGACGACGCTCAAGATGCCGGGTACGGGCCGGACAATCAGTCGAGTAACCGCGGGAGGGGTAAAAGCAGTCGTGGCCGTGGTCGCGGCCGCGGCGGGAGCGCGCCCCCGCGTTCTAGCAAGCGTCCGACGCTGACGAAGCAGAACTCGTCGGACATGGCGAACGAGGAGTGGGAGACGGCGTCGGAGAGCAGCGACTTTGCCGCGAGGAACCTGCGGGACGAGGAGAAGGCGAAGAACGAGGCGAAGAACGACGAGATGAAGAAGGACGGCGTCGCCGCGGTGAAGAAGAGCTTCTCGGGGCAGCGGCCGAGCAGCGACCGTCGCACGCGCAGCGGTGACCCGCCACGCAAGTCCTCCAGCGCCCCGGACAGGAGTCAGCGGTCGAACCGCTCCGACAAGAAGGGAGGAGACAAGCGGCACGAGGCGAGGACGAACGGCAGCATTCCGAAGGGTTCTTGGAAGGGGCCGTCGAACAAGGCACCCGGTGCCGGCCGGCAGAACGAGAACGCGGTATTCCGTGTGGACGAGATAGTGCACAGCAACCCTGCTGCGATCCAGAACGCACTGGCAGACGTATCTAACAGGTCAGTTCTCATTTCTTTTACAGTGCGCGAGGTTGTAGAAAATAGTGACCGTGATTTCAGTAACAGTAAATTGTAAGTCTGCTACTGTTGATGATTGCTAATTGTTACTGTTTTAGATGGTAGCAAATTATCATGATGGGAATAGTTTGATTTTATGGCAGTTTTTTGGACAGTTGATTTTGGATTAAATATCTTGGGAGAGTTGCGTGCTGAGTATAATTTGTTATTTCCCAGCTATGAAGGCCACGGTTAATCTTTTGTAATCATGTTTTTAAATTTAGGAAACCGGTGAACAAGACTGCAACTGTGGCTGATGTTGCAAAGCAGCAAAAGGCACAGGAGAAGGAAAAAGTTGGTGCCCTTGACCACATTGATCTCAATAACTATGCAAGTAAGTACTTTACTGTGTAACACGTGCATTCTCCTGTTTGTCTATAAAACTATCATGTCAGTCAATGTACTGCATTAGTAGTTTGTATTGTACAAAGAAAGTGAGGCATAATTAGGTTTTAGCTTTTTGTTATTTGCTTTTGAGCAATAACAAAATTTTCAATTAGTAATGCTTTCTTGCTCAGAAGTGAAGTTATGGAGGTTTACATAGCAATGCTTGCTAGCAGTTGTCAGTTCGCAAAACTATTACTTGCAGGTGTGGTTGTGATCGATGACCAGCCAGAGGTGACCGTCGATGATCCGCTCTACATATTCGATGGTAACGATGGCTTTCAGGAGGTCATGTCCAAAAAGACGCAGAAGGAGAGACAGAAAGCACTTCTGGAGGAGCAGATCCGACGACAAAACATTGAGAAGAAGAAGAAGGAAAAGGAAGAGGTATTAAAGAGATTCTCGAAAAAGTGTGACAAGCCTGTTTGCGGATCACAGTGATAACACTGATACCAGGTTTCGTTGCAGCTGTTGGCACGCATCTTTATGAAGTGTTGTTTATTTTTCGCAGAATGTGAAGAAGCAAGCTGAGAGTAAGAAGGGGCGGTCGAGCTCGTACGAGCGGCCACGCCACAGCAAGCTGCCGCCGCGGCTCGCCAAGCAGCGAGAGAACAACAAGCTGAACATGAACATCAACGACACGATGCCCACACCTGAGATGTGGGACATAAATGAAGCACTCAATTTGTTGAATCAGCAGCAGCAGCAGCAGCAACAACAGCAGCAGCAGCCACAGCAGCCGCCCGCGCAGCCAGCACAGACTGGTACTAAAGGTATGCGAGATAAAATCAAGAAGCTGTGTTCATGTTATATTTGAAATGTAGCAGATGTAACGTCTAACGTCGCTCTACAGTACGACATTGCAGGCTTATAACGTTGGCGTTTACACGATCTACAGAATCGTTCCCGGCTCCGCCTCCACAAGTAAATGCCTGGGATAAGCCGCTGGAACTGCAGTCTCCCATCTCAACAGCGGCCAGCCTCATCTCAGATGCTATGATGTGCAGTGTGCAGACATCGTCAGCTGGAGGAACAGCAGCCGAGGAGCGTGAGACGGGCACTGATGTAAGTGACGCGTACTTCGGCTGGCTGCGTTCTGCTGCAGCAAAACATCTTGAGAGTTCAACTGGAGTAGTGATACTCAATGTATGTGTGTGTAATGTAGGGAAATTGCTTGCGGTGAATAATTGCTGGTTTGGTAACAGTACAAATAGTGTGGTTTCGATCTAGCTTTTATTTTATTTTTGATCTCTTGTTCTTAGGTGGGCAAGAAAGAGCAGGATCATGGAGAAGTAGCAAAGGAGAAGAGTCCGCCCGTAACAGTCGATCCCAGCAAGGGTAGAGCTGTTCAGAAACCAGACACGAGCAAGGTTTGTACTGTTGTAAACTTGCATGTGATTTACAAATTTATAGAAACACTTTAAAAGAAGTTGCTTGGTTGTAAATTATTATGTATCAGCTTATTGTGACTTGTATAGACTGTCACATTAAAAAATGTAGTATATAATGGATAGAGACTAAAATTATAGGCTATTTCTAGAATAAAATTAATATTATATTATATTTAATAATATCTAATAATAAATTATATGGTAAAAAACGTTTTGCAGAGGTCTACCAGTGAATCGGAGAACAAGTCGCAAGACAATGCTGGCGAGGCAATGAGCAAGTCGTTGGCAGAGCAGCAGGCAAGTTGTTAAATAGTCTGTCAAGGTCACGTTCAGAAAGATTTTGTGATACCTAATTAGGCTTCGAAACGAGAATCACGTAGCAGCTCTAATTAACGAGGGTTACAGGTGTCAGGGATAGCAGTAATCAGGGATTTTGTGTAGTGTTGCAATTATCTTACTTATATCCGTCCAGTGTGCGTTTTTTGTTTATGTTGTGTGTGGGGGTCGGGGGTAACTGGCTGACCGTGATTGCGTGTAAACGTACCATTCCTGTAGTTGATAGTATGCGACCATCTGTTGAATGTCTGATTTACCTTTTTGTAGGATCAGAAGAATTTAAAGGATGCTGCAAAATTGGACAAACCACAGCCGATACAACTGCCACCTAGTTTCAACAAACCGCAACAGGACGGCAAGGTTGGTAACTTGTGTTATAGATGCCAGTTGTTTGGTTACTACAAATCAGGTCTTGTTGCCTGGCTAAATTTGGATACTTAACTTAAGTTATTTACTATTATTATAACTATAAGTACTTACCTTTAGTACGAAGAAGAACCTACCTTTAGCTAGAAGTTAGAGCTAAGCCTACTAAGTAGGTAGTATGTACCAAGTTACTAATTTAGCCTACTAAGCGGCTTCAATCTGACGCGGTTATTGTGCATGGCAGACGACATCGGTGGAGATGAAGCTGGATTTCACGTTCGACGCTGAGCTGGCCAAGCTGACTGAGGACAAGGTGAGCAAGTCGCACACAATGGACAGCAGCGTGCTCCGGCAACACCAGGCCGCTTCCATGGCTTCCATCAACTCGGCAATCTCTCCCTCGACGGCCGATCTCAACCTAAAAATAGCCTCCGTGAAAAAGGTGAGGTTGTTAACGTCGCCGCTAATTCGTGTTTAGGTAGCAGAGAGCGTATGGCAGTATGGTAAATCTGTTTTAAGAGGTATCTCTCGCCATTGGCATGGCATGAAAAGTGCAAGAGAAGGTTTGTGGGTGTGTGGGGGTTACAGACCAGCCTTCCTGTAGAATTTAGGTTGTGTTGGTTATAACATCATTCAGTTCAGCACTTCATGAAAACATTAGCTCTTTGGAACGCTTTTCTATTTTAACTTTAAATAATGACTGCAGCAACCTACTTAATTTAAGGAAAGCTGTGGTAGGTTTTCCTGCTCATGTTTGTGATGTGGTGTCTGCAGGTGTGGGAGACAGCGATGCCGACTGTGCTAGAGGAGGGAGGCGGCGGTCAGAGCTACGGCTCCTTCACGCAGGAGGAGAACCCCTCCCAGGGCTACAGCGCCTTTCAGGCGAAGATGTCCTCGGACGAGCAGAGCAACCAGGCGTACGCTTTCAGCTCAAAGTCGGAGCAGAGCTCACAGGGCTACACGGCGTTCTCGAGCAGCAACGACAGTCAGCCGTATGGAAGCTTCTCCTCCAAGCACGGCATGTCAGCCGACGACATCAGCCAGGTGGACACGTACGGCATGCCGAAACACAGCATGGCTGATGGCGGCGGCGGCGGCGGCGCGTCGCAATACAACGCCAACGTGACGTCGCAGTACAACGGCGGCAACGTGTCTCAGTTCAGCAACGCCGCGTCGCAATACAACGCCGCGTCGCAGTACAACAACACGTACACGGGCGGCGGCGGCGGTGGCAACACGTACAACGTGAACGCGTCGCAGTACAACACGTCTCAGTACAGCGTCGACGCGGCGCAGTACGGCGGCTCGCAGTACGGCACGGCGCAGTACGGCGGGGGTCAGTACGGCGGCGGGCAGGGCCACTACGGCTCGTATGGCGGCGACGACGGCGGACAAGTGGACAGCGAGCTGATGGAGAACATGAGGCGGTCGTCGTCGTCCGCCTACACGGCGTCGTCGGCGTTCACGACCGCCGCGTCGGGGACCGTGCTCAGCAAGCCGGCGAGCGAGGGCACCAACGTGTGCAAGGTGAAGCCCCAGCAGCAGTTCGCTCCCGTCTCCGTGATGACGTCGCAGTCGATGGCAGCTGTGCCCAGCATCCCGAGTCCGCCGGTCATCTTCAACCAGATGCAGAACCCGCTCTACCAGCCGTTCCAGATGGACTCGTCGCAGATGTTGACGCAGCGCATGCCGTACGGCTCGACGACGAACCAGTTTGGCTCGCAGCCGAACTTTGGCTACGGCCTCTCGCAGCCCGTCACGCAAGTGACGTTCGCTCACCAGCCCGCGACGCAGACCTACAACCAGCAGAACCTGTTCATGCCGCCGAACCCGCAGTCGGACATCTACTCGAACGCTGCGTACCGCGCGGCGCCGGACTTCCAGCCGTCGTCGAACCAGAACCCTCTGCTCATTTCGTCGGCGATGTCCTCGCTGACGACGCCGTCGGCGAAGGTGACGCAGAGCGGCGGCGGCTCGACGTACAACAAGGGCGGCGCGCCACTGTCCAGCCTCGGCTTCGGGCAGGGCAACCCGCTGCAACCCTCCCAGGTGTTCATCCCGTTCGACCCGACGCAGCTTCTCGGCCTCAACACGCCGCAGAACCTGAGCAGCTCTCCGCTGCTCGGCTCGCAGCTCGTGCCGTCGCGTGCGCCCGCCGCCGCCGTGCAGAACCTGCACAGCATCCAGCCGATCACGCCTCCGAGCAGCTTCTACAGCCCGGGACAGACGAGCGCGTTCTTCCAGCAGGGCTCGGCGATGCAGAGCGCGCTGCAGCAGATGACGTTGCCGATGACGCAGACGTACACACTGCCGACGTTCGGCTCGACGCAGCAGTCGTACGGCTCGCAGCCACTCAACCTGGGCAGCATCACGATCCCGACGCAGCCGAGCATGCAGCAGCAGCAGCATCCGATCTCACGCTCGATGCGGCAGCAGCAACAGCAGCATCTGAAGCCGATCGGCGGCAGCTCGTCGCTAAGCGGGATGATGCCGGCCGTCGACGCGTCGTCGCATACGCCTGTCAGCGCTCCGTCGCCGGTGCTCACGAGTCCGCACGGCCCCGGTAGCAAGTACGGCTCCACCTACCAGAAGCAGCAGCAGCACATGCAACAGCAGCAGCAGCAGCAGCAGCAGCAGCCGTCGGGTAATAAGCTTGGGGGACCGATGTTCGGGTCGTCTTCGTCTTCGGTGTCGAGTGGGCATCCGTTCTCGCAGAAGCCTCCACGGCATCAGCCGCAAAACCAGCAGATATCCCGACCCGTTCCGTCGGGGCCGCCGCCGCCGCCTTCTCTCGTCATGTCCAACATGAGTCAGATTCAAAACCTCGCTCCCGGCCGCTACCCGGGACCCATCCAGCGTCCTTACGGGCAGCAGCAGAAGGGAGGTGGAGGAAAGTCGAACAGCGGGCAGTCTGGAGGCGGTGGTTCCGGCTCCGGTGGGAGCTCAGGCAGCTCCATGTCAGCGTCTGTGAAGGCTCAGCATGCTGCGGAGAGACAGAAGATCCTGCAGCAAACACAGGTAAGTAGTGCTTAACTGGCGCTCGTCAGTATAGTTAGCTATTTCTGGAGGAAGTTTACCTTCTATTCACCATTGTTGTACAGCCGTCATGTATCAATAGCAGCTGCTGTTAATGTTCAGTAATAATGGTTATCTGCATTAGCAGGGCTTGAAACTAACCTAAAATGTTCACTAGCCAGCAGGGCTAGTGGCCTGTAAAATCTACTAGTGCTTAAAAAATGTCTACCAGCCCTTAGTTTTCTGAAGTGCGGCGCTGAAGCTACGTGGTGAGCACAGTTTTGCCATTTTCGGGGGGGGGGATCTGGGTTTTGATTTTAGACGCTCTGAGATGCATTCTGCGAAATTCATTGACTTTGTGAAAATCTAGATTCAGTATAGATTCAGTATACACATCAGTACTATGTTATAAGAGCAGAATAATTATATTCCTTATAGTAATTAACGATTAGAACTATTAGTCAGTTTACTGAAATCTGAAAGTTCATGTTTAAGTCGAACCGTAGTACAAGTACAGTATAGAGTTATAAGTTGAGTTATCGTGTTTGTGATAGTTTAAGATTTGTAGAGTTGTATTGCAGTTATATTAGTTGACTGAATATAAGCCACATAGAAGCAAGCGTGTTATGCTGGTGTTAGGATGAACTTCGTATTATAAAAAGCTTAGAATACCAGTTACAGGAATGTAGGTTTAAAGGTATATATGCGGGTTATTTTCATAACAGTACCTGACAAAACCATGACTACTATTCCACGTCAATTATAGACACAGAGACTGGATTGTATATTAGCCAGGGTGATTCCAAAGAGTATAAGTAAATTTGAGTTTCTAATTTGCTTATTTAGCAAACATCAAATTGAAATCATCTTTTCGTTTGAAAAGGGGAGGGATTGTAGTGTTTAATTCTGAGATCAGCTGAACCGTAAACTAACCGTTCCACGAACATAAACAGAAAGTAGAACAGAAACGTATTGCGTACATACACTGTGAGGGAATTAATGTGGTTTAATCCGGTAGTAAATTCTACAGTATCTAATATGGCAGCGTTCAGCATCGTGACTGTTATGTTTAGGTTTTGCAATTTTATTATGTTTGCACACGCAAGTTGTATACTACTTATTACTAGTTCGGTCGGGTTAGTAGTTGCTGAAGAAGTACTAGTAATATGTTATCTGGTAGGCATTCCCACTCGCCAACAGGGCTGGTCAGCCCAGACATTCTGCTAGCCCTTACTGATTTCTACTAGCCTCGGGCGAGCGGGCGAGCGTTAGTTTCAAGCCCTGATTAGTAACAGCAGTGAAGGTGAATGGTGAATACTCACCCCCCCTCTCTTTCTCCCCCCTTATCTCGTTCTCTTCTTTTCTCTTTTTTGCCTTTGTCTATTACTTCGTTTTATTTCCCTCCAATGCTTTCAGCTTTATGATATCTTGGTCCTCTCACTTGATGTAAGCAGGATGCTGTGTTGTTCGTCAATCGAGTCTGATATCAGTAACGAGTACCGGTAAGCAAACGTGGGCTTCGTTCTCGTGCAGATGTACTTCCGCGAGCAGAACAAGGTGGCAGTGAGCACCCCGTCCACCTCAGCAACCTCCAGCACGAAGCAGAGCGACGTCCCCACGCCCGTCACGACCGCTCCTGCCGTCACGAAGCCGGCCGAGGTGACGCCGCCGCCTCCGCCGCCGCCGCCGCTGCCCCCGACCACGACGGCGACCACGACAACGATCGCGGTAGTGACCGAAACGAAGCCTGCGTCGGCGACGAGCGCGGCCGACGGTGGCGCCACCTCCTCCGTCGCCGAGAAAACGGACGAGTGAAGTTTGGCAATGGGAAGCAGGGAATCTCTGCCTGCTCTGGGTTTGTCTGCATGTCGCAAAGAAGCGGCTGGGTCGGAAGTCTGTCGAAGGTTAAGATGCTGGTGCTTTGTCTCCGGTATGTAAAGAATGGCTCGTGGTATCGTGATTGAAGGCAGGATCAACGAAAAATGGTATGAATGCGGAAAGTCGGTTGCTGTAAGGGAGCTCGTGGTACGTAGATTTCTGTGGAGAGTGATCTATACTACACGGTATTGGCAAAATGGTACAAAAGTGTAACATTCTATAACAAGTGGTTATTGCTATGGCATACTGTGGTGATAAGAAATAGTATCAGAAGATTGGTTTGGGGAAGTCTATTACTGTAATTGCAGACCGATGATATTTGGTGTAGGCATAAGAAGATGTGTTTGCTTTTCTGCTCAGGCATGCATGTTTATCCATGAAGAAATTACCACACTTTGGTTGCCTGTTGGAGGTGTAATTGTTCTACGTTCTTAACCCTTCACGAACAAAGTAAGGAAATAGTAAAGATGGAATTACTCAGATTTGTGGCTTGCACACAGCTGCATGACCACGGTAGATGGGGCTTGGTTTTAAAGGGGAAGCATAGTCCCTGTATTAAATAAACAAAGTCCTCAAGATGTGATGGTGACTATTGTACAAACTTGTTGCAACGAAACAGCATAGGGTACATTCATTTGACCCCCTTCCATTCGAATGGATGTTATAATGTGTTAAAGCTGTTATGCTGTCCTCTCCGTCGGCTGTATAATATGCTAGAAGTTGGTAAGGTCATGTCTGTCCTCTATCCACTCAACTCTTAGATTTTACTGATCTTTTTGCAAAACAATCACTGCACCATTTGGTTGTCACAGATCCTGAAGGGGATCCTTCATGATAGATGGCAGTGAATGTAAATCGGTCACATTGCAGTTGTCTTATCGAAAACCATCGGCTTGTACCTGATGACACTGCTAGAAAAAATTTGTTACGTTGAGCATTTTGTTTCGTGAGTGATGCTGTTATAAAACCAGATAATGAAACATTTTAACATCGGGATATTGTCTGGTAAAGGACGAGGCTGTTGCTGTTTTAATGGTGCCGTAACATGAGCAGTGTTAGCGCATGTCAGGAGGAAATAATATTGTAATGATGGCATGGCGCACATGCTCTGTAAAACACGGGCATTGGTTGTTGCGACACGTGGATTCATGTTATTGTAACATGTTGCATTTGTCTTGCATTTCATCATGACCCGTTGTTGCTGCTGGTGAAAGAGCATAGGAATCTGTTGCTGATATTTGGCAGTATGAGCCATTCATAGCTGCTATGTGAAATTGCCATGGCAGTCAGTTAAGGCAATATAAGAATGATTACCTTTAGTGTGCAAAAGTACAAAGTAAAGGCACGAAAGGAAATTATTTAAAAACATTGTTGTCTATGCTAGATAAGAGCTCAGAGATCAGGAGATTAATGTATAGTCTGAACCTTACCTCATCTGTGCTACAAACCAAGACCTTGCCGAGCCCTTCATGGGAAACTAGATAGGCGGTCTTAGTGGATGTTTGATTTAATCAAACACTACTAGACTACTAGTATACTGATGTAGAATGCCATCAGTGCGATAAAGGATAAATGCGTAATGGCAAGTGGCATTGGTGCAATCCTCACTGCATATAATTGCACTTCCAGGTTTAATGTCAACTACAGTGCTGGCACAAGTTTGATCTTGTCCTTGCCAGTCGTCATCAAGGTGTGGCCAATGCTATGTCAACTATTTAGCTAGCATTCATTGGTGGCCTAGGCATTATTTGTATGCACAGTGAAAAGGTAATTGGGCAAACGGTTCGCTAAACGAGAATAAGAGGTTCTTGTTGTAAATGCCCTTTGGACTGTACGTGGGTAGAGCGTATAGCACCATCAACAATCCATGAGGCAAGAATGTCTCAACTGCCAGGAGGCTTGGTAACGTTACCAGGTCGCTCTACCCAACTCTCCCATTTTAGATTAATCTGCAAGCAAGAAGAAAAAAACTTGCATTGACCTGAGGAAGTAACAACAGTTCCAGGTCCCCCCCGACAACGTGCATTTCGGTGCACCACGTCGGCTGAAGAGGTGAAGTGCTCCTTTTGATGATGAGTTTGTGACATCGGGTGCCCCCTGGTGTGCACTGGCGTGGCGTGTCTATGCCCCGTGACATGCCGCGCCGTGGCCGTCGCGTTAGAGGCCGCATATGATGCGAGCCTGGCGGGCGGACGACGAGCCCTCATGTCTAATGACGGGCGGTGAGGAGGAGGAGATAGACAAGGCAGCTCTGCTAGCGCCCCCTGTTGCAGCTGCAGAGTTGTCACGTTAATGAGAGAGCCCTAGTGCCCGTCTTGGCGTTGTGTTTGACACTGTAATCGTTTTCCAGTGTGCTTTGTATTTCGGCTATTCGTTTCATTGTGATTGTTGCGCGCATGTCTGTAGGAAGGGGAGAAGTTGTGTGGCCGGACGAGACTGCCCCCTCGTGGCCACCGACCGAACCTCAGCTCAGGCATGTTCAGCTTCATACTAGTTCACCTTTGGCTAGGGTCTGTCATACTTGTGCAGATTCGTAGACTCGCTGTATCGATATTTTAGTGATCTTCTCTGTTCTAGTTGGATTATATATTATTGTCTGGGTGCGCCGTCGTGCAATCCTGGCTCCTGTGATGCAATAATCTGAAGCGAATCCGTACACTGTTACAACCGGATGCTGGATATGAGCTGTCGCGCGGTAGAGAGCGTCTATTGTCATCAGCACTGCAGTTATCTCAAGTGTGAGAACTTCAGAATTTTGTTTTAATTTTCAGCACGTTGATTGTGCCATGCAAATTTTACTGGCTTATATTCGTTGTTGTTTAGACAGGGTTTGTCAGTCACAGCTCTGTGTTGCTATTGAGAACAGGCGGCTAAAAAAGGTATATCACACAACCCAGTTCATCCACACACGTGCACACGTTCGAAATGGTCGTTTTCGTGGTAGTTTTATCTCTTTCTGTATTTAATGGATGTTCGTGCGTTTATTTCTCACTATGAACGATATGTGCGTGAACTTAACGTTACGATGGCGAGCACACACACGCACATGCACACACACACACACATCTGTTTGCGTATGAGCACACCTACCCGGTGGCACAGGTAACACAGGCAATGCTGTCTGGCGGACAACACTCGGTCTCTGCTCTTCTCCACGCAACTTGCTATTATTATTGTACAATTTGGTTCCGTGTGATCGTTTAATATTAAATAGGAAATTTGTGAATATGCGAAGTTGTGCATTTCAGTTACCGTACGGAACTCGTGTTTGGCAATGTGCGGTTGAAATAAATCGCGGCTGCCCGCCACCGATCAGTTTTCGGTGACGACTCGTTAGCACTGTATGTACCAGTATTAGGGTTGCACGTGGCGCGGGTGGTCTCCCTGTGCCCTGTGTTACATCACATCACGTAGCCGCGAAAATAATGTTGGGCTCACGAAAATCGTTCAGGTGCGAGTTGATCATTTCGTCACGATGAATCGCTCATTGATCACGCGACCCTTGATGTACAGAAACATTACAAGGAACAAGTGATATTTCAAAGACAGGCCTACTAGCTTAATTACTTGCCAGTGTATCTCTGTCACATGTTTTGTACATTCACTATAATACTCTGCAGTATCGTGTGAACATTGTTCCGGTAACAGTTGTATACGTAATTGGAACAGGCTTCACGAGTCATTTATACCTGACATTAGCACATAGCCGATGCAGATGTGATGTGATATAGGGCAACTTGTATATGGTTCACACAGAGTAGTACGTGATTTGAACACAGGCATGCGAGTTTCATTGCTGTTGTTTTATATCGCATTTAAATGGGTGACAGACAGATGTACATTGCCGTTGCTGTTTGCATATATAGAGCCCTTGTATGTAACTGTTTACAACAAATAAAAACATTGTAAAGTGTATTCCAGTGGTTTCATATCAGTGTGTATTCTATTATAAAACTTGTAAAAAGTATTGAACTTTTAAGTTAGTGCAAAAGGTATCTATTTTGGTTTGGGCATGTATAATGCTTTATTTTCAGCATTTTTACAAATATTCCTAAACAAAAATACTTTGAACAGATGCTGGAGTTACAAGAACCTGGGGCCCGTTGTCAAACAAATTACTGGACCCCTGTGTTTTGGCATAGTAAGATATATAGCATTAACTAAGTTAGAATCGAAATGCCATCGTTGTTTTCTGCTAGGTGAAATTGCAACGTCTGCATGCAGATACGCGGAATGTACACAAAAAATCCCAATGCAGAACATTGCACATCAAACAATAAGGTTGCCCCAGGTGTGCTTCTCTTAACCATACACTCAGGAGTCTATCAATAGATAATCTAGAATATTGATAGACTCCTGATACACTGAATGCTGGCAAATCATCGGAAACACTTTCATGTTTACTAAACTCGCATCAACCAGGCAACGGATCATTAAATAACGATGCCCATTACGAATGATTTATAGAAGCTGTTCTGTACCAGCATTCAGAGACAGCACACTTCTGTAACATTATCATAAACTCACTTCACCACTGTATAATGGTGCTGATCCGTTATCACATCAAAAGATCATTTCCACACTGATCCATCAACGGAATACTTATATTTGGCACTGATTTGTCTCTCACCTTATATCACCAGACATGTGCTTGAGCAATGCTACTACATATATGGCACGTTGATTATATATAATAAAGGGAAAGTTACTGTGGTGACGATACATACTAACATGATCCTATCCTGTATTTCGAATGGACATCACTCGAATCATTGTCAAATAGAAAAACACACACACATGACTAAAACAATACTCTACATCTCTCATGAGTAAAACCATCCCACGACCACATCATACGTGGAGGGAGGGCGCCGTATACGTGGTATAGCGGAATCGTTAGCTGCCACATAATCCTCATCCTCATCTCTCAGCAGTAACACCATCCCACGACCCCATCTCTGTAACATACGTTGAGGGGAACGCGTCGTGTACGTAGGGTGAAGCGGGATGGCTAGCTGCCACATCGTCCTCTTCCTCATCTTGATCACAGCATGCACGTCGCTGCGACGCTACTGATATTGTTCGCGGCCGAGGCCTTGACCTTGGCAATGACACAGTGCACTGCCTCGGTGACGTCATCAAACACGGGCACACTCTCTCTGTTAGCGATGTCACTCAGGTACGTACGACCTCTGTTGTAGTCTTTCACTGCCTGTACGGACAACTGCAATTGAGGAGAAAATTTGGCAAGGTAAGATTTAAAATACAGAAGTAGAAAATACAGAAATTTACGAAGTAGAATACAGTGGACGCGAACGTCATTTTTGTATCGCTGATAGGTTTATTATTATAATACTCTCGCTTGTTGTCTGTCCCACTCCCCCAGTTGCTATCTCCCCCCTTCTCTCTTTCTCTCTTGTTATTTTTAAAAAGCACTACTTATAACAATGTACAATAATAGTATTATTCTTACACTGCTTCCATTGATGATAACATCCTTTGATAGATACTTTACGCAGAGTACCAGATTTTTCTTCCTTCCGATGAAATATGATGCCTGAAAAAATTTAACAGTACCTTATTAGCAGTTCAGAAAATGTATGTAACTACATCAGGTTTACCCTGCCCACCCGTTCATTAACCATGGTTCTGTTGTAAATGCTAGTAGTAGAGCTGCTTTCAACCAAAACCTCCCGACTACTATTTCTCGATATCTGTGATGTAAACTTATCATGCGCTACGTGAAGATTACAGACTATCCACGGACATTTTACAGAAAATACGGGCAACTATGATGAGCTATGAACAACAAGAGCCGCAGACCGTCTGGGCTCATCTGAGGTCTGTTGCTACGGTTATAAACGTAACATTTAAGTCGTGCGTAGTGACACCTTTGTTAGGCGCAGATATGCAGATACGCAGTTGCGTACACATCATTTCAGCAACCTTCTGCATTCTGCATACCTCCCAAATCCCATTGGTTGATACAAATCGCGTGCCTGAAACTCCTGTTTTATGGTGCATTGTGACCCTAACCCGAACCCTAACCCTATTAAAAATAATAATAATATAATTGTTGTGAAAATTATTTGTTGTTATGAAATTGTTGTAAATAAATCATGTATATATTTTCCTTAATTGCAAAGAAATAGTTAAATGGATAAAAATAGAAAAATACAGAAAACAGGTAAATAATAAAAAATCTGATGGTATTCGATCCAAGGACCTTTGAGCCGTAATCCTGTGCTGTAGCCGTTCGGCTATCGAGGTATATTGGGTATCCAGATTATGGATGTGCCATGAATATAAGAACATTATGACATCATTAAGGCAGTTCAGGAATCTATGTTTAATCCTCCTCTTGAGGGTCAAAAGGTTATTAGACACTTACTCTTCGCACGTCAGTGGAAAGCACATTTCATGGTCCTTTCAATAAAGTGATAAAAATGGTAGGTCAGCGCTGAAACAAAAAAGTTGTTCACTCTGTCCGTTAGCCATGTCCTCAGAAAATGTCTGATATCTGACCTTTCTCCCACTGCCCTTTGACCTGTGACCTCCAATTTCGGCACAGTGATGGCTTTTCCTACCATGATGCTATACACCGACTATCACGAGCCTAGGTCGAGCTGTTTAGATTTGTGCCGCAATTCTGCATTTCCTCCCTATACCATAAGGTAAGGAGGGAATTTTCCCCCTTCTTTTACACCTCTTGACCTTTGACTTTTGACCCTCAGCTTCGACATCCCAACTCGTTTTCGGATTACCCCCCTACGTCCAGACTTTCGAATCCGTACGTCGAGCCGTTTAGATTTGTGCCCAACTGTTGACGCACGGACGGACGCACGCACGATCATGCGATTCTACAAGCTGCATCTGACTACGTCAGATGAGCTAAAAATGAACAGCAGCGGACAAGTAAGGAATGTCACATAACAAAATTTATGGACCCGTAATACGTGTAATAAGAGTTTTGCTAAACAGTTTATAATTTCCAATATGATCAGCACGCTGGTGCCGAATGCACAGACGAGTAATTCACTGAAGATATAGCAAGCTGATGTGTTGCACATATATCACATGTCCTGTTCATTTTCTATAGTAAAAAACAACTAACACGCTCACAAAATAAAGTAAACATCGTCTTAGTTGATATTCAGTTTGTGTCCTGAATAAGGATTTCATACAGCAATGAATTTTCAATACAATACTCATATGTATATATTATCAGGAGTCTATCAATTTTTTATTATTATTTATAATTATTTATAATTATTTATTGATAGACTCCTGTCCTGATATTATCTATATGACATATATACATAGCTATCATTATATGTAATTATGCGTATGTGTGTGTACATGTGCGCGTACACGTACATGTGTACTGCTGGCACTGAGCAAACATCTTGCGACTCCTTCAGCTCACTGCCGCATTCAGCAGAGTTCAGCACCAGCTTGCTGATAATATCAGCAATTATAAATAGGTTTGAAGAACTCTCCTCTTATCTGCTTGCACTCAGGAAACTTTGCACGTGTATTTACTCTCTGTACTGGTATCACAGTGCGCTGTGAACAGTAAGTAACTCTGTAAATAGTCCGTAACTTTCATGTCATAGGTACAACCCAATATAGGGATTTCAATTGTTAACAGGCTATTCATTCAGCAAGATACACCTCACCTCTGCCATTAGGAAAAGGGCACGTGCATCGGGTGGTATCACATACAGCAGTACTTTGCAGTTCTCCTGTGCACTTTCCCTCACCAGTGTTGACGGCAAGCACTCATAGTATGTTACGCCATGTTTTCTGAAATGTAGAAGCAACGAAGTTGAATCTACACTCTTCTGTTCTTGGTGGCAAATTAAATCAGCATTCTTCCATTCCAGGCAGCAGCTTAGATCCATACTCAAAATTGTGAAGGATCTAGCCAACTACCATACCTTATTAGTGTGATTGCCTCCCTCTTCCAATCCGATTGCATACAGGTGCCACCAAGGTATACCTCCTTGCCAGTTTTCTCTCGTTTGAGATTCACCATAGAGAAACCTGTTGGTGTGTGTATAAGCAAAATGAGATATACACTTCAAGTCCTATCTTTTCTATGTTATGTGTGTAATCTGAGTAATCGCAACCTGAATGCAAACTGATGTCACAATCTTTTGAAAGGTGTGCCATATGCATGCAGGGGACTTGTAGGGTAATAGCAAGTGAATAGCCGTATATGAAGTTATAAACGCCACTGACGATTCTGTAACTTACCGAACACTGACAGCGTATAAAGGAAAATCCGGCCAACACTCCGTAGAATGCAATCCATTATAATAGACATTATAAAGCGCGCCATGGGCCAGCGATGACTTGCCTATGCGAGAAGAAAGAGTCACACTTAAATTGACTACGTCACGAATTTTCTATGGTAAAATTTGTAAAATTTTTGTTGCCATTTTTTTACATTAAAAGTAAGAACCAACGGGACTAAACGTATCGTCAAATTCTTACCTGATAAGATTGTTTCTCAACTAGTTAAAAATCCAAAAAACCTGGACGATTTGATATTAGTGTTCCTGACATTAATTGCTTGCTATGGGCTATGTATGCGTCACGAGTGTATGTTCACATCGAACAATATAGTAAAATCACTGGCAGCAAGAACAAGTCCGCACCTGCAGCTACAGCATACACGCGGCCATTGACTATATATATACTACATGGTGCCTAACTCGCCGCCGCACGGACCACAACTCACCGTTTTCTATCAGTTACAACTCCAGTGTTTCTGCAGGTGACACCACTTTCCAACTATCGTTGGAATCGCGGAAGACTGCTGAACAAGCTACATCCGCCATTTTTGACAATCGGCCCGTCAGAATGCGCTAAATCACAGAAATTCCTCAAATATCCATGCGAAATGATCTTTCAAATGCTACCTATGAAGAAGGCGGCAGGGCCGGCTGCGCCGATTGGCTGCAGCAACTGCCAGCAAGTCAGTTGCGTAGTTGCGCAGCCTGTCTGCACATTAAACTTGCTGCAGCCAATCAGCGCAGCCGGCCCTGCCGCCTTCTTCATAGGTAGCATTCGAAGGATCATTTCGCATGGATATTTGAGGAATTTCTGTGATTTGAGCGCATTCTGGCGGGCCGATTGTTAAAAATGGCGGATGTAGCTTGTTCAGCAGTCTTCCGCGATTCCAACGATAGTTGGAAAGTGGTGTCACCTGCAGGAACACTGGAGTTGTAACTGATTGAAAACGGTGAGTTGTGGTCTGTGCGGCGGCGAGTTAGGCACCATGTAGTATATATATATATAGTCAATGGTCGCGTGTATGCTGTAGCTGCAGGTGCGGACTTAATTGTTCTTGCTGCCAGTAAAATAAGAAGTATAATGCAGCAATTTAACCATAAAAAGTGAACAGAATTACTTATATTTTGTGAAAAAGTGGAAATATTTTTTTTATTTTTTACTATCTACGGTGACGTAATCACTTTAAGAGATACCACAACTTGCCTCAAAATGTGGCGCATGTTTTTGTTCACAGAATGTTTTTTGTTATAATAGAAATAATGGCAGATCTAGAACGGACATGAGTGCATTTAGTTTGTCTAACAATTTCTTGTTCTTGCGCAATCAATCTACAGGCAAGCAGAGACAAGGTACGAAGCACAGCCGATGTGCAGTGGCATTCTCACCTGCAACCGGAACTCAACCCATATGCAACAGAACTCCTCAAAGGTGAACATTCCCTTGTTTCTTTGCTGAAAATCCAGCCATTCTGGGTTGAACTCTGTGCTTGTTGCAGAGCGATATGCTAGGCAGAGTTCGTTGAGGTCGAGAAAACCAGAATTCGTAGAGTCGATGAAGAAAAATGATTCTCGCAAGGTGCTGAAGCAAACAGCGCAGGGGTAGAAATTAATATTTGAACAAGGGAGTCCAACGCCCTGCCCTCAAAATGAGGGAGTCCGCAGCAAAATGAGGGAGTCTGCAGTTTGAAATTAAAAACTAAAGAGATTAACAATAACGTTTATGTACTTATTTTGAAGATTCATGTGGTTGCACGTCTGCTAAATTTTCTTTAGACATTTGCTGAAGAAAATTCTGTCATTCCGCGAGGCCATGCTCTGGAACGAACTAGTTAGTATAGCAGAATTTTCAGGGAGTCACACGGACTCCTGCATATGTCAAATCAGGGAGTCCGCTCTGGAATGAACTAGTTAGTATAGCAGAATTTTCAGGGAGTCACACGGACTCCTGCATATGTCAAATCAGGGAGTCCGACAGTAAATCAGGGAGTATTTGACGTTAATTTCGCACCCTGCAGCACATGATCTGATTAATTATGCATCTCCCAAATTTTCTATGTGCTATAACTTTGGTGCTCTCAGCATTTTAACACAGCTGGCTAAACTTCGCAAGTTTACATGAACATTACATGTATTGAATTGATGGAAATTCAAACTTCCATATAGTTTGGTACAGGTACGTTGTTTTTTTACTCACACGTGTGCTATGTTTATTCGTGCACCTGTGGTAATAGTGTGTACGTTTTCTGCTGGACATTTTGTGGAGATTCATCAACCAATCACCACAGAAACTAAAATTTGGGCAACCTGTTTTCTAGAGCCCTCTGACATTCTTCACTCTTCAATGATATACTTGCAATAGATGTTTGTCTCATCTATACTGGGAGTGGGACAGTGAGAAAGCACAAATTTTTATCGCAGTGGCTACGGGTACGGATGTCTCGAGGCTACGGGTACGGCAGTCCATTTGCGCATGCGTCGCTTTCCCACAAAATAATTCCGTTGGAAATCAATTCACTGGTTTAATTAATTAATTAATTAATTAATTGGATTTGAAGTATGAAAATGAACATTATTGTGCCAGCTAGCCTACACCAGTTGGTTGGGATTGATTGTCAGTTCAGATGCAAAATATTGAAAGCAAAAGGTTATACACCATAGATTAATTTTGGTACTATGACACCCGTATATAAGATAGCCGAGTTGGTTTATGGTTAGTCTTAGGGTTAGGGATAGAGTGACTGTTTGTACTTGTGTGTGGGACTGCCGTACCCCTATCCTCGAGACATTAAGATACGACTACCGAACCCTTAGCCTCTGCGAATTTTTAACTGGCAGCACGTGGATTACAGTACCCATTACTGATTACAGCCCTATAGACCGAAGGTTATGTGTTCAAGGTGTAAAGATGCATTTTCGAATACGCAGTGGCTACGCGTCCAGAACCGGTCGCCTAGCCTCCAGGCTACGCATCCGAACATCCACTCACACAGTGATCTCGCGACTCGCGTACACGCATGATTGCGCAACGTGACAATCTCTCTCTCTCTCTCTCTCTCTCTCACACACACACACATGTGCGTGTGCGTGCGCGTGTGCATGTCTGTGTGTGTGCGTGTGCGTGTGCGTGTTTGTCACAAATTAAGTAAAGTATTTTACTATGATTTATGAAATGTTCGGTCTATAGGTCCTGTTTCAATATTCGGTCTATCGGACCTTCGGTCTATCGGACCTTCGGTCTATCGGACCTTCGGTCTATCGGACCTTCGGTCTATCGGACCTTCGGTCTATCGGACCTTCGGTCTATCGGACCTTCGGTCTATAGGGATAACCCCCCCATTACTCTATCCACAACTGTCGTTAACTTCAAACGTTTGTATACTGAGTGACCCAATATCTTTTTCTCTTCTGTAATTATGTACACTCTCAACTCTGCATTAACCACAATGCTCTGTCGATCTACACACCACCTTGGTGCATCCTTTCACTATAAATTATAGTAGTGAATGAACATCAACCTGTGCTGGCGCTGTGTTCTCACCAGCACAGACTGTTTCGATTACTCACATGAGCCTCTTTCCTACTTGCAGGTGAGGGTAGCATACAGCCTGCACCCCATCAGCTGCTGTTAGTTCCTGCACACACTTGCACTCTTGCAGCACCTTGGAAGTGCACACCAGCGCCCTGTAGATGTCACTGAACACTGGTATGCACTGCCGCTCGAGCAGATCCTGTAGGCTGGTCTGTGTGTTGTTCAGCTCTTCACACTCACTGTAAGGACGCAGGAAGAACACAAGATGGGACAACGACTCGGCATGCTGGTATACAATAGGTTATTTGATTGAGTGTGGTTTTAAGGTCGACTCCCATCACTGCTGTCGTTGCCCCATCACTACACCAAACCTGCATCCAACACCATCACTACTCCATTTCTGTTACTGCCGTGCCACTGCTCTGCCACTGCAAAAAACCTGCAGTCAACATCAACAATGTACTCTGCACCCACTGCCACTATGACTAGCTTAAACTAGCTTGTCTAATGCAATAGCTAGCACATAACTGTGCTAATGTGCTAATGTGCTAATGTGCTAATGTGCTAATGTGCTAATGTGCTAATGTGCACACATGTGCTAATAAACTAGCACATAGCTTAAACTAATACACACACGCATACAGGTACATGCACGCATGCACACACGCACGCACACACCTATACTGCAGGTAATCACGATGAAAATGTTGTACTTGATACCTTTTACTGAGCGGTTCATCCCTGATAATGACTCCTGGTCGTTGAAACGGCTTCAGCACGACGATGATCGCTCTCCGACTACCTGAACCGCATGCACATCACAATGTAACATGAGAGGTGAGATGTTTCCCACCCAACACACAATACTTGTAACGACCTACAGCCAAAGTAACGCTGATAGAGTCTATGTCCCCCAGGGTACTGCCGGAACGTACCCTGGATACGGTCCGGTATACCGGAACGTACCCTGGTACTAAATACTACTATCTAATATGCCGGACCGTACCTCACCTACTCCACTAACAAGGCTAAGGAGTCGCCTACGCCTACGTTTACGCCTACTCCCTAACCCTAACCTTAACTCTAACCCTAACCCTAACCATATCAGCTAGATAGTTACCAGGGTACATTCCGGTATACCAGACCGTACCCAAGGTACGTTCCGGCAGTACCCTGGGGGACATAGACCCTATGAGCCAAAGTAACACACACCACACACTGGTGATGCCATATATTTTATCTAGTTACGTACACCGGCAACACGGCACCTCTGATTACCATACCTGCATAGTATGAGATCTCTATGATTGAAGACACACCACGCGTTTCGTTGTCAACAACAAAGAATAGCACCTCTGATGCCTAGAAAAGATTGGGTTGGCAAAAACATCACTTTAGACAATCTTTCACATACAGTGAGTAGGATAACATCTCATGTAGTAATGTAATTTTATTAATTTGAAAATGATTTCAAGGTTAGCAATTGTTGGAACAAGTTGTCACACAATGTCATTGAAATACTGTCGAGTCATGAACACTTGCTTTTTGCAAAACCTCTACACAATACTGTGATAACATGCCTGTAAAACCAGCATCACTATAACATTTAATTTTACAGAAAATGAAAAGCTGATCAGATTAATATGGGGTTTAATATGAAATACAACCTATTGATTAGATATGTTGTCAACAAAATATTTACCTGTCTTATTATAAATGTTTACTATCAGGATCTTATTATGTTTACCTCCTTTGCCTGGTCCTCTACTTCCAGCAATTCTGGCTCCCAATGTGGTACTTGCTATTAAAGCAATGAATGAATATGTACAACATGTATATATATGCATGTAAATATTCATAATAATGTACATCATATGCTATACAGTACCACCCATACCAACACATCAAACTATAAGGCATATGTAAATATTGAATAGCACATTATTACCATTAGATAATGCACATCCCTCATTCCAAATGTCAATCATAGGAGACATGTAGCACGATAATGGATGTGATAGCATGATACATACCGGATTGTAAAAAGTAATGTTTAAGCTCTTCAGAAAAGGTATGGCTGTGTCCTTCCTCCATGTTGTTGGATTACATGATCCCCCAAGAAACACTAGAACAAGTGAGTGCATCAGTCATTTAATACTTACTATCTAAACAATACAATTAGTTTATTCTTAGCAACACATTTGAAAATACATTGTGTAGAACAGATATGACTCTATGCAACATGTATGTCAGTATTGTTAATCAAAATAGTTGACTAACTGTTTAAATTATTATTTATTTCAATACAGCTGGTTTCATGAAATATCAATGTAGCAAACTATGCAATAGCCTTGAAATGAACATTGTACGCCTGATTGGAAAATGAGTTTAACACGTATTATTAGGCACTGTCCTTGCATGATATTTGTCTGTATGTGATATGTGCCACTCTTCCTATTTTAAAACCAACCTTGTATGCTGGAATGTTCCCGAGTTAGTTTTCTAGCTAGTGCTCTGGCACCATGACATGACTTCCGTGACTTGTTGTTAGATTCCGATATAGGATGAAATTGGCTATAATTGGAAAACATTTTTACAATTCGACTTGTACTAACAAGTGCCTCGGAGCAACAGCGCTCATCTAACGTCTACTGCAGTGACTCTGTGGTGGAGTGGTGGGATTCTAGTAAACCCTTGTTATTCCCAAATGTGTTCACATACACGCCGAAACAGTAGAAGGCACAGGGATGGTATCAGGAACCTTCTCAAAGGAATTTTCGTTGGGATCGTTATGAAAGTTGCCACGAAATGGCGTGTACGTTTAAGTGTCTTAAGATTAAAGATGGAAGCTCCCATCGTACGTAGTAGCAACAACTATTTGCAAGACAGAATAGGTAAGCACTCATCCATTTACCTACGCAAGCCTACAGGCTGAAATAGAAAACTGCCACCTGTAACTAATTAACGCAGGCAAAAACTACACAGTACTATCACCACCACATGCACTGGCAGTGACCTTTGACCTGTGACCTCCAATTTCGGCACAGTGATGGCTTTTCCTACCATGATGCTATACACCAACTATCACGAGCCTAGGTCAGGCTGTTTAGATTTGTGCCGCAATTCTGCATTTCCTCCCTATACCTTAAGTTAAGGAGGGAATGTTCCCCCTTCTTTTACACCTCTTGACCTTTGACCTTTGACCCCCAGCTTCGACATCCCAACTCGTTTTCGGATTACCCCCCCCCCACGTCCCAAATATCGTGACCGTATGTCGAGCGGTTAAGATTTGTGCCCAACTGTTGACGCACGGACGGACGCACGGCCGGACGCACGCTCATGCGATTCTACAAGCTGCATCTGACTATGTCAGATGAGCTAAAAATGAAATCCATCAAGATTATTACTATATTCCAGTATACATGGGGGATTCACATTCTGGACCGAGTTTGAAGTACATGAATACCCTAGATCATGGCGTATTTATTTGGTGCTACGCTACATTTAACAAGAACTGCACACTTTATATAAACATTTACGCCAATCAGTTTTTGCACACTCATTATTTGAATGTTGCCAAATGTATCAGACATATGGTGGGGAACCTACCAGTTCTTGTAAGAATCCTGTAGTTCTGTTACTAGGACAGCAAACTCGGTGAACTTGATATGGTCGAGAAGTTGTCTGTGACCACAGCGACTTGCACACCGCACCATGTCTTCCACTATGAAATTGTAAAAGCAACCCCTAGAATTGTTTTTCACATCTTGCTAATATCGAAGAGGGATGTGAGATATTTTTCAAGTATGCATTCGATACCCACCCAAATACCCCCTTCTCAAGGATGCGTCCCTCCGTACACATACCTTGAGCTCTTGAGGGACTGAGTCCAAGCTCAGGCATGACAGAGGCAATCTGGTTGGTTGGCAATACGCCTTGATTGTTAGCATGTTTATTGAAGATTTCTTGCAATTTGCTGTGAAAAGGCACACATAGCATTAGTAATAGTATTTAATACAGACACAGTATAAAGCCAATAACAAGTTTGTTATTTAAAACATACATGTTATGTACTATAGCCTATAGGTATAACTTCAGTATCTCAGTCTATGACAGTATTGCTGAGAGGGTCTATGTCCCCTAGGGTACTGCCAGAACGTACCCTGGGTACGGTCCGGTATACCGGAACGTACCCTAGCTGGTACTATCTAATATGCCGGACCGTACCTCGCCTACTCCACTAACGAGTCTAGGGAGTCACCTACGCCTATGCCTACTCCCTAACCCTAACCCTAGAACCATATCAAATAGTAACCAGGGTACGTTCCGGGCAGTACCCTGGAGGACATAGACCCTATGAGCGACAGTATTGCTTAGTAACAGTGACACTAACACGGTAACAGTAACGCTGAGAGGGTCTATGTCCCCCAGGGTACTGCCGGAACGTACCCTGAGTACGGTCCGGTATACCGGAATGTGCTCTGGTACTATCTTATCTAATATGCCGGACCGTACCTCGCCTACTCCACTAACGAGTCTAAGGAGTCACCTACGCCTACTCCCTAATCCTAACCCCAACTATATCAAATAGTTACCAGTAGTGTTGTCAATCGGTTGTAATTTCGTAATCGATCATCGGTTGGACCCAAGTAACCGATGATCGGTTACAATCGGTTACTCGGGGTGTTGAATACCT